AGCAAGAGGATGGTATATATACATCGGCTCTGCCACTGAGGATTAACCACCAACGCAGCTGCTTGGGGGGGAAGATTTCTAAAACGGTTGGAGCAATCGACTTGGAAAATGATTACTGACTGGTGAATAAGAATCTCTTTAATAAGGATAAGGGGTGAAAACTCCACGTGGAATGTAAACCATTTTCTGTATGTCAACTGTTAAGTAAGACTTGCAACGTGGCTTTGATGGATCAAATTGCATGCAAATAGCAGCCTAAGGCGGCCCCTGTTAGAGGGAAGGCAATGAAAACTAGCACCTGTTTTTCATTTTTCCATCAAAACCGTGCTAATCTTTCCAACTGCAAAACGTTTTACTACCTCAGTTCTGAGTTGGGCAGCTTGCCAGTGGTTTTACATCGTCTGCTCAAAAGGCCAACCCAAACCCAAAACCTCAACTAACGCAATAAAGGCTTGTTCCTATCCAAATGATCAAATGGGGTTTGTTTTTATGAAGAATCCTACACTGGGCCTGCAGCCTGTTCTGTCCCCTCCTGCAGTATTTATGTAAACACTTACACATGCGCACATACACACTGAGCATGTGCACACAGAAAATAGAGAGCTCAGATATCAATGAGCTATAGGCTAATATGGATGTTTTTAAGATTATAGAAGAGGCTTGGTAGCAGAACAAGTTGCGTGTTCGTGTGTGTGCATAGATGAGTGTGAATGGTTTCATGTGTGCAGAGTGTGTAATGTGTGTGTGTGTGTGTGTGCTGGAAAGACAAGTCCCAGAGCTTTAGAGCTTAATTGCCGGTCATAGTGTCAATGAGGGCATCATTGAGCTGCCACATGCTGTCTATGTAACAAGCTCAACAATGATCTTAACATGATTATTACAGTACATGTCGGGAGAAGGAGAGGAAATGCTAACACACGCAGAAGCAAATATACATTTCACAATTTTAAATGTTATCTAATCCCTCCATTTTTCCTCCTTTGACTTCCTGCCTGGATGGCTCGCACACAAAATACACACACGCCCACACATGCACACTAGTATGACCCTGGGCTATCACTCCCTCTGTAACAGTGTAGTGCATCGAGGGTAAGTATTCATCTTAAAAAATGAACCAAAGCCGAATATCCTGCATAAACGGTCAGGAAAAACCTATATATATATACTACGAGTACAAATCATAGTAAACATGCGTGATCTGTGTTTCGATTATGAGGGGGTCCTCTAGCCCCAAAAAGTTTGAGAACCCCTTGCTGGTAAGAAGCGTGAAAAGTGAAGGTGCGAGGGAATGTGTAGAAAGAGCTAATGAACAGTGATGCAATGCGGCTGCCAAATTACCGAGGCTGACGGGATCTGACATTGTTACGTAACGCTGAGTCCAGACGGTAATCCAGCGATCTGGCCGTCATGCAGCACACATGCTTTAACCTGTCCTTAACAGGGTGAGTACATGTGACGGCAGCGCTGTCTCTCAAAGGAAAATGAGCTTTTAATATTTGCATATTCTCACTGTGTTTGACGATTCCACTGCTGGTGACTGCATTTAGATATGCCACTAAAGACTTGGTCACACTTTGGCACATAGAAAGGCAGCAAAAGCTCACCAAGCTCAAGGTTTGAATTACAGGGAGGGAGAGGGGGGGTCTGAGCCTCTTTAAAGATTTGGACACCCCCCCAACAGTCAGTTAGCAACCTTGTTAGCTCGGTCACTGTCGAGATATTGAGTTTGCGTATTCTATTCAAAAACATACTTACACCAACAACTCTCATAACCTTTTGCAAACCATTGTTCATTTGTGGAGCAGTTCCTCTTACAGAAATAAACAAAAGGGGAAGGTGGGACACAATAAGCTATGAGAGCTTCCTCCACTTTGGACCCTAAAAGGTCAAAGATCACCATTTTTGTAATGTCATCTTACGTTTGCATTCTAGCTAATCTGGCTTTTATCGTGTACACAGGAGTCTTGAAGGCAGTGCACCCTTTCACAATGACACAGCTACAGTAAACATGTCAGCAGAGAACATAATACATGCATATCCTGCACACATGTTGAGGAATCTAACCCCAGCACACAACGCATGACAAAATTCCGGCCCTCAGATTTCCCTGGCAAAGAGCACCAAGCTCAACCAAGCTGGATCGATTTCAATCAGCGGCTTACCAAAATGATGTGGCTGCCACCGGACTAGCGCGATGGGGCTAAAAATAACCTCGGCCGACCCCGCGGCTCTGATGTGGTCACGTACCCTCTGGTGTGTCTGGTTTTATGTGTCCCCAAATGAAACCCATCAAATTACAGATGCAAACGCAGCCGGACCCCTTCATCAAAACTATTTCAGCTCGCTGACACAGTTTACTAAGGCAGTAATTAGAGCAAAAAGAAAATGGGAGGCATCCCAGGCACGCGGAGAAAACAGAGAGACGGGGAGGAAAAAAGAAATGAAGAAAAAGAAGAGCGAGGGAGCAGGGAGGACGGTGACAGCTCATCAAAGGGCCACAGGCCATTTTTCTTTTTGCTCCCTCCCTTCGCCGTTTCCTCTACAACCACGGATCAAAGGATTGGTGAGCATAAATAAAAGCCGACGATGATTTCCCATGAGAGCTGTGAACAACATGCATAGCACGCGTTCATATGAAGCCACGGTAAAGCTTCTGCTTTATCGCTTCTGCTGTCGGCACGCCTGGTCGACCAACTGCCTCACTGCCTCCCTTGTTGCTCAAATGGTTCACACCACCAAGAGAGAAAAATGATTACAGTTGGGAATACTTCATGGTTTTACTGGTCCTTGTTCGGGGGCAAAGTCTTGTTAAAGCTGGATTTATCTATTCATAATACACTCCGATACTTTGGGGATCCATACTGTGTGTTAAATGCATTATTTAGTGAGTGGAGGTAAGGTGCGTTGTCATAAATGTTGCCTGAGGCGCTATGCAAGAGGGCTTCTGTGTGTGAAAGAGGAGTGATGATGAGTATTATTTTTATCCATCGTATCTTTTTGCATATCCAGGATTGTGTGATGGCTGGAACTTGTCCCAGCATGCACTGCTTGAAAGGCAGTAAACACCCTGGAGAGGACACAAATCTATCACGGGGCTGCCACTCGATATCATTCCAGCCGCCACACATTCGCCCAGTCTGCTCCACCTCCATTTCGCACACTTGCATGACGAACATACCATACTGAGGGGGGGGCTGTCCTGCATATTATTTCGGTACACCTGTTTTCATCTGCTTGCAGGTGGAGAACAGAAAGACACTTTTTTCATGCCTCGCTCTGCAATCCAGTGTCCTCCTGGGCATTACTAAAATGAACTGTTTGGGTAAGAGCCACAATGTCTCTAAAAATACACCCATGACCGCAGAATGAACATGCAGGAGAGGTGGAAAGGCTTTTCCTGCAGGGAAGTGACTGTTGCTAACACTGCTGCAGCGTCGAACACATTTTATTTGAAGCTTAATTCAACAAACCATTGAACTCTTTGTCATTTATGCAAATGTTTTACAAGATAAAAGCAAATCAACCCTTGATATTATTTTGAATGCCTTCCACGCAATCTGCATGTAGATAGTAGTTTATCCCTTAAAATGCAAATACTTTGTGTCCGAGTACATTTATGTTTCCGTGCATTTTCTCAACTTGTTGTGAGTGACAGAAATGCACTAGAAACATGAAGCGGTGTGAATTATCATACAGTGAATACAGAGCATCGCTGCAGGTTAGCCCACAGGCTTTTACTCTGCTCTCCTCTGCAGCCTGCGAGTGTGTGTTAGTGTGTGTGTGTGTGCACATTTACATAACTTTGCAGTTGGCAGGAATATAGCAAGATAAGGTTCCCTGGAACTCTCTGGTGCTTCTGTTTGGTTAGTGGTCACACACACACATATGTATATATATATATATATATATATATATATATATATATATATGCAGGTTATCAGAGGTAGCAAAAAGGTGGAGAGTTGACAAAGAGCCAAGGTCATGTCACATGTGTAACAGTAAAAGTGGAAAGTTTACCTTCTGGAACGGGACAGCTGGCTTCACAAACCTTGGCCATCTGATTCTGTTTAATGTGCCATTTCATCTTCATGCTCATGTCAGTGCATGACATAGTGTCCTTACTGTCTTTTAAATACTACCCATGTGTGATGTAGCCTATTACAGTCAACCTTGGACAGTCATAATTAATTTTTGTCTCTCATGCACATGCACACATTCTAAGAGCCTCATTCAGTTTTTTGTTTTAGATTGGTCTTTATAGACGGCTCTTGAGCTGTTTTAAATTGCCATTCAGGAAATTTTGAGTTGGCAATATTGAGATCCTTAGTAGTAAAGATATTATTCATTATCTTAGAAACTATAACATTTATTTTTTATCTCTGATTTTGGTATGTTTTGTGTCATTTGTCATGTGTTGCTTGTCTGTAACTCATTGTTATTGCTTCCTCTCCAAGGGCAGTATTATATTTAAGGTAAACAAAAGGTAAATAAATAACACCAGTGCATTTAGGTACACACTTCAAAACGGCAAACAACGTGAAAGAGGCCATCAGTATTTTGTGGTGAATTACACCACAAACAGAACTTTCCCCTTCAACCATAAACTCCCTGTCTGTCTCTCACTGCAGAGCTGTGGAGGCAAGGGGATGGGAGGGGAGAAGCAACTCAGAATTGCCGCCACGTGCGCTCAAATCAAATGCCTGCTTCATTATAATAACTTTTTCTGGATTGGTCCAGAAACGAAACACGGTATTTATATACGACATCCAATTGGTCGTCGTATCAGAGTGATAGTGAACACAGCTCAAAGCTTCCAGACAAGGGATTCTTGGGCGTCTAGTACTATGAGAAAGTAGTGCGCGGTGAAAATGATCATTTGGATTATATTTACCGGTAAAAGTGTAACAGAAATTACAATACGTACCAAGTGATTTTGTGTGAATGTGTATCTAGTGAAAAGTGGCAATTTAACGCAAGAATTAAGCGAGCGTGTCGACTTGTATTGGTGGCGGAGGGATATCTCCATCCCACCGCGCGTCAAAATATTGGCTCTGGGAGACCGCGCCAAAGCTCAGACAGCGGCTTCTCTTCGGGATATCAACACGCTGCGGAGGCCCTTTAAACTCACTTCTCTGTTGATACGGCTTCCACGCACATCGGAGTGTTTGCTTTTTTTTTTTTATTTCTTAAGAGTACTGTTTTTTCGCTTCTCGTGCTTGAGTCGAGACTCAAAACGTCACATTTCATGCCGGTTTTTGGGAGGCGGTTTGCGACTTCACGGTCGTGAGACGACTTAGACGGGTGCGGTGCGGCGGAGTTGGCGCACTGCTGGACTGGATATATATCATTCGCTTGATAAGACGGTCCGCGCCACATCTCTTCTGACGATATATTTGCTCTTCTGGGTTTTCAACGAGCGAGCAAGGATCGTCTACACCGGCTTTTCAGCGGGAATATGTTGTTGTCAAAGTTTGGTTCATTTTCGCACATTTGCAACCCCTCAAGTATGGACCATCTACCAGTGAAAATACAGCTCCAGACGGGTAAGTTGCCGTTACCGAGTGTTACTCCCCCCCCCCCCCCCCAATTAAACTCAAATTAAAAAAAAAAAAAAAAAAAAAAAAAAAGAAGTAGTAGAAAATCGTATATTTAAGTGTTCGTAAAGCTAAACAACCAGACCTCGCGCTAGGCTGAGGGTTGCTGTGACATTATTGCAGTCGCCTTGATATTCTTCACTTTTTGACTTGCAGTTAAAGTGGAAAAAGAGCCTTTCGAAAAGGTTTACCAAGTGGGATCCGTGCTGGGCAGCGGAGGATTCGGAACAGTGTACGCCGGCAGCCGGATCTCTGATGGCGCACCGGTAAGGATTTCAAACGGGGATCTGGGGGAGTCTAATGTTTTGATCTCGCATGTGCCGCCATGACCACCGGGAAATACAATGCGACTTCTCCCACACTGAAGCATTTGCTTACTATTCCTGTTTTTTATTGTTATTTCAGGTTGCTGTGAAACATGTGGCAAAGGAGAGGGTGACCGAGTGGGGCACAAATGTAAGTAGTCATCCCCCGATCTGTGTGTGTGTGTGTGTGTGTGTGTGGGGGGTGTTTTTTGGGCCCCCCCCCCCCCCATCCCCCAACAGCAGGGGGGAGGGGGGGGGGGGGGGGGGTTGTTATGATAAAGGAATAATGGCTTTGCATCACCTCAACGTACTTAATAAATCTTTATTTGTTACAGAACGGTTCTATGGTGCCTTTGGAGATCCTGCTGCTGAAGAAGGTCAGCTCCTCGTTTCGCGGAGTTATCAAATTGCTGGACTATTACGAGCGCGCGGACGGCTGGCTGATCGTCATGGAGAGGCCGGAGCTCGTCAAGGACCTTTTCGACTTCATCACCGAGAAGGGCGCCCTGGACGAGGACACGGCCCGGGGCTTTTTGTGCCAGGTCCTAGAGGCGGTCCGACACTGCTACAGCTGCGGCGTGGTGCACAGAGACATCAAGGATGAAAACCTGCTCGTGGATCTGCGCACCGGGGAGCTCAAGCTTATTGACTTTGGCTCAGGGGCGATTCTCAAGGACACCGTGTACACCGATTTCGACGGTAAGCCGCCGCCACCTTGCCCTCTTACATTAATGGCCGTTAAACGGTGTTGCGATGCTCCCGTGCGTAATTTTGATGTTATGCGCGCACATCCGTGTGGGCCGGGTTGTGTTTGCCCTTGATGCTCCGCTGTACTATATTCAGACGCGGAGGCGTTCACGACGCTGTGACGCAGTGGTCTGTTTTTGGTCGAGGGTTTTCCTCGCCTCGGGTCTCGCGACTCATCGTTTATTACGGATGTGAATCGATGCTGCCGAATGAAAATCTCCGGGTTTTTATCGGGAATGTATCAGGTTGTTAATTCACAGATATGACTCAGAGTGCGTTAATCCTAGCGGTGGCAGTTTTTATTTATTTTTTTATTTCCCTTCTCTCTGATTCATCCTCGTCTTGTGAGACAGAGTGTGCTTTTATTCTGTTTCCGGTTGTTATGTAGTTAGTGAAGCTTGAGTATCCAGTCATAGTTTGTGGGTATTAGTTCAGTGCCACGTAACATCTGTTTGTTGTGAAACCCGAGTCGTCGGATCACGTGATGGGCTCACGTTGCGCTTTTTTTTTTTTTTTTTTTTTTGTATCAAAGTTCCTCCCTCCAGGAGGGAGGGGGTGAGGAAAAGGAGGGAGGGGGTGAGGAAAAGAAAAGGAGGGAGGGAGGAGACGCAGGCAGGTCACCCAGTTTGTGTTTTGTGGCTGAAGGAAGATGGAAAGCATTTGTGCTATGACTCAGCCATTTTAGACACAGACACATTAATTCTGCTGCATTTCAAGCACTGGTGCCCTCTAGATTCTCACAATATCAAACTGAAATAGCTCTTCACTGGTTCCTACTATATTTCACAACAGCTGCTCACTCACCTCTCTACTTTTCTCTTTTCTTTTATTTTTAGGTACGAGAGTGTACAGCCCACCAGAGTGGATCCGCTTCCACAGATACCATGGTCGCTCTGCGACGGTGTGGTCGCTAGGCGTGCTGCTGTATGACATGGTGTGTGGCGACATCCCCTTTGAGCAGGACGAGGAGATCCTCAGAGGGAGACTGTACTTCAGGAGAAGGGTTTCAGCCGGTAAGTCGACCGCAACACTCACAACACGCATGTTGACGCTGTTGCCCTCTAGCCACGGTAACTGGTACAGCCCCAGATCCGCCTCCTGGTTCGGCTATATTATGAAATAATTTACATCAGAGTAATGCCTCTCAGCTACAATGGATTACCTGCTGGTAGAGAGAGATTAATGATTGATAACCAAAATAGAGATTTTAGCTGTTATGATTTCTCCTGGTGCACTTTGTGTAACAACCCAATAACCCTTGGGTTATACACCCAAGGGAAGGATGTGTGCTCTCATTCTATTGGCCGTCTGTGCCGCCCACGCACTAGGATATTGTAGATCCGTACACACTGAGTCATAAGCAGCCACATACAGTACACTTCAGAGCCTCTGATCCTGACATCGTTTCTGACTCCTCCCTCAGAGTGCCAGCAGCTGATCAAATGGTGCCTGGCCCTGCGGCCCTCAGACCGGCCCACCCTGGAGCAGATCTGCGACCACCCCTGGGTGAGGGCGACAACGGAGTCGCCCAAGTCACAAGAGGAGCCGGCCCCCAGCGAGATCCGCCTCAGGACCATCGACACAGACTCTTCGTCAAGCACAAGCTCGAGCAAGGAGAGCCTCTGAGGACGGCTCTGATGGACTCAAAATACTTTGTGGAGAGGGAAGGGGTTTCCGATGGAGTGGGGGGGTTGGACGTGGACTCGAGGCCGGCAGCCTGTAGCCCGACTGGCCCATCAGCAGCTGGACACTTGTCACAGCTGGTCCGGCAAGAAAAATGTACTTTACTTTTCCTCTTTTGTAGGGAATTTCTAATTTATTACTATTTGTTCTTCCTTATCTTATTTGACCCCATTCCCTTCCCCCCCCCCCTCCCCCCCTTTTCAGTTAATTATACTCGTTTCCTAATCGGGAACATTTTTCTGTTTGGGTGGTCTTACCAGCACTATTTATTTCCCCCCCTTTTTAACTTTTATTTTACTCGTTTTGTTACTAGGCTGGTATATGCAGCTGGCAAGGCCCTCCTATTCAGACATGGCTGCTCTCATAGAGCTTGGAGAACACCTTTTTTTTTTTTTTTTTTTTTTTTTTTTTTTATTTAAATGTTTTGATTTTGATTTTTGTAGTGCCTTTTTTTGGAAAGCTGCTTTTCTCGGGGGGCTTTCGTCAACAACTGTTTTTTCGGAATTGCCCATGGCCTGGTGGCTAAGTTGCCTTTGCTGTGATGGAAGGAGAGAAGGGGAGGGGGGGGGGGGGGGGGGGGTGTGGTTTTTTTTGTCTCCCTCTCCATCACTGCAAGCCAACCAGCCCCAAGCCAAGAGGCTAAGATAGCATTAGATCGGGGAGCAGGAGGTGGGGGCTCTTCCTGACAATGGAATACTTGAAAAACACTCGACTCAACTCTGTGTCGCTCTCTTTAACGCTGCTCACTCACTCTATAGCCTGAACAGGTGTTTGGAAACTGGATCCTGTCTTTTCTGAATGTCTACAAAAATGTCAACACACACACCTACCCCCAGCTTCTCTCCCCCCCCCTGTTGCGGGGTGTTTGGCCCTCTTGACTTTCTTTTTGCCTCCTGCCATCTCACTGCTTGACACTACATGGCCCCCTCCCCTGGCCTCCCTCAGGGTTTGAGGTGTGAAATGCACAATCAATGCAATATTCATGGTCTCAATTATGTATTTTTATTTTTTATTTTTTTTTTTCAACAAATATTGTACAGCCTGTTTTTTTTTTGTGTACATTATTTTTCCTCCCCGTTTGCATTTAATTTATTTGTAAACATGTAGACATTCCACACTCTGTGGCTATTTATTTATTTATTATGCTTAAAAGCCCCTCTAAATTTTGCATATCCTACTTGGCCTTTGGTTTGCATTCCTATAACTTATTTTTACATTTCAACATGTTTTTGTTTTTTTGAGATGTGGAGGATGCACTGAAGCAGTTATCGATGTAAAGCAGAATAAAACAAGTTTACTTAAATTTGAAAAGAGCATTTGAATGTTATTTAACTTCTTTACAAAAAGTCTTTTGGTAATGTTGAATGGCTAATTATCAGAGGAATCCATCTGGTTTCTGTACTGTCCAGATTAATTTAGAGTTTAACGGAAAGCTAAGCAACGGGTGGAACAGCTTTCGTAGTTGTCACATAGCCTCATATTGGAGGAGTCCAGTTCAGCTGTGAAGGATGGATATTGCTATTTTTTGATACAAAAGTTTCAATTAAACTCCCATTTTTATGTACAGAGATAAGTCTGGTGTCTCAATCATTTTGCAATTGATACAAGTTTTAATCAACATTTGGTCAAATCCACATACTATAGATTCATATTGGGAAATGTATGTACCTCAGATGTTGGAGATATTGCACCATACATAGGCCGAATAGTTTTGTAAATTTAGTCTCCACACGTTAACGAAACCATCAGCCAATATTATTCTCAACAGCATTCCCTTGGGAGGCTAATACACATGTCCAATATAGCACTTGCTTCATTTACACCTATAGAAATAACATCAGGACACATGACGGAGGGGAAACGGAGGAGCCATTAGCCGGATGGAAACCCGCAGCAACCACAGCGCTAACAAGAGACGGATGTGTCTGGACGGGAGGGGAGGGATGCTGGCATGACGGAGCAAAAGCGAGATCAGGGACATTTTACATCGTCGCACACATGCAGCCTTTAAAATATAACAAACTGCTTTACTATTTAGGCCTCTTGCTTGCCTACCGACGGCACAACAACATACTTCATTCTCTTACTGGATGCAGTAAGGCTATATGAATAGCAGGCTGCTGATGTTGGTGTGTCTGTGCATGCGTGTGTACACTGTTTAGTGTGTGTACACTGTTTAGTGTGTGAGGGGTTTCCATGAAGCAGGAGTGAGTGGAGGGGGTTTGTTTTTGTTTATTTTTCTGGGGAGGTGCTGCCCCCTCTGGTGAGTCGGGTCCATTATCCCCTGTAATACCTTTCCAATAGTTGAAACCATTGCTAATGATTCCTCAATAGAAAAGATCATGATGACATAAATGGGTCATTTGGGCCGACAGAAACCTTAAACCATGAGCTACCTGCACATGTTGGATTATAATTTACTGTCTTGCTGCCAATTCCACCGGAGCGGAGACATATGCACACTTGAGGACTTGGTGAGATGGCTGGTCATTAAATCTTCTCAGGGATGTAATTCACGATGAAGAGATTGATTTGTGTGCTCCGGGGGGAAGGAGTAGACTTAATTTTCTTAATTGCCCTTTGGAATATTCATCTTGATATATGGAGCAGGCCAATTAAGACTCTTAATTAAAGCAGCGATCCAGTGTTACTCTGTGTTCTAGAGGAGTTTGAATTGAAAATATTGCTTTATTCCAACTCCATTCGAGAGGAAATGTCATCTCTTAATGCAAACATGTTATGTGAATGTAAATTGAGAGCTGAATTTTTTTTGCTTTAAAGAAACAGTGGGACATTTTGGCAATACACTTATTTTCTTCCATGAGAAGATCGTTACCAGTCTCTTATCTGTCCAGTAAATATGTAGCTGGAGTTAGCTTAGCTTAGCATCAAGACCGTAAAAAGCCTGTTTTAACAAAAAGACAATTCGTCGTTAGGCGATCAATGAACCAGGATTGCTCTGCTTTCATTTTGGGAATGGCGACATACTACACCCTCTTTTAATCAATCTAGAACTTCCCCCTGCGTCACCCTGTAATAAAACACACAGCTATAAATGATGGTGTCAGACTCAATACGTTGACAGCTGTGTTTCTGTATGCGTCCCTGATAATCCTTCTATTGTCTTTGTGCCTCCAGGCTTTTTTAACATGCAAATGACCGGCAACTTGTCTTCATCAGAAGCCCTTCTGCTCAGACTGAAGACTATATCGCGAGGTCTCATCCTCTCTCACCGTGAAATCCTCATTAAATGGTAGGGGGGGGGGCATATGCCACACTGTTGTCTCCTTCAGTTGAAGTCTGATCCCACAGGCTGGGTTAATGTCATCCATCAGCGACACTTGGTTCGACTCCATGAAGATCCCGCCTCTTTGTAGCGATCTATTAAAAGATCAAATGGTGTGAGTCAAGGGCATCGTTTGTGTCATTAATAAGTCTCCTCTCTGGTCATTTTGTAATTTATTTGATTTTTTTTGATGTAGCAAAAGCTAACATTTAAAGGAATAGCTGTCATGGCTGCACACTAAAAAGAAAAGTTAGCCTCCCTGTAAAAAAAACAAGTTAAATCCACTTATCTGCAGCTCTAAAACTCACTAATTAACACATCCTGTATTTTCATTTGTTTAATGCAAGGCTACCTGTTTCCAGTGTTTATCCTACGCTAAGCCACCAAAGTACATATTGGACCAATTTTTAATAAGCCACATATCTTTCGAACATTCCTAAAAATGTAATATTTCGAACACACAAATCAGGATAAAATTTAGTTGGAGACCATTCTCTGTCTCAGCCACACACTCTAACAAGATCTGGCAACTAACTTTCGTGGCTGTCGGTTGTGTAAATATCTAAAAGAAGATATAAATACACTACGCAAATACAACCCAATTTGCTTTCATCCATCCATCCATGACCACGCCCACTTCTGAGACAGGAAGTGTAAACCATTTAAAACTATTTGAGGTGCTTGTAATGAGTCCTCTTTGTTGTAGAGTCCTTGTTGTACATCAATCTTCTAATCCAAGTGTGTCTCCCATAAATCAAACTTTTTCCAGTCACAGTGTAATTATGCAGCCTCTTTACAATGTGGATCTGTGAAACAAGCATCAGTGGTGCTAGACTGTTCTGGTTAGGTGGCAAGTTGGAGGCGTACAGAAAGACTTTTTGTGTAAAATGTTAAAACAACTCTGTTGGTAGTTGTTCATTTTGAAGAGGAGGGGGGGGGGGGTTCTTAGTTATGACTTGTGATTGTGTCCTTCAAGTACGTACATTTGGAACGTAAACCCCTCAGCTGAAGCTGCGGTACAGAGCTTTCCCCTCTCGTTATATACTCTGTGTTCTCCGAACAAAAAGTGTTCAGGCTCTCGGCAGTGGCCGTCAGACGTGACATCTCGACAGACACAGAGGAAGATGCCAGATGGACTCTGGGGCTCGAGGGCCCCCGGTGGGCACAGATGGGTTGGGTGGGTGGGTGGCACCCACACAGGCAGCACAGGCGCCAGCACCAAGACAAGGAAAAGAAGAGAGAGAGATCACACCACCAGTGATACTACACTTCACACAACTTCTGTGTGTCTGTCCGATGCGTCTGACCCTTTTGAAGAAGGACACTGATATGCATGAGTTTGCATAAGGACATGCTGTTGAATTTGTGCACGTGTGCGCTTGTGTACGTATGCGCTCATGTTCATAGCTCTGGGTGTCTCTGGGCTCGAGTCTGTGAATCTTTATATAGTATCTTGTAAAGTATCTTTTTCTCTGCTAAAGCAGCAGGATTTACCTCGTTAGCCCGTTGCATAAATATTAAATAGGGTTTTTAATATGTCATCTCCAAGATGATGGCTTCATTTTGATTGGTTTGAAACGGTAGTAAAAATGTGATTAGCGTAAATGTCACCCAGTTTTATTTTGGTGTGAGGAAACATCAAAAATGTACAGAAAGCACGCAGTAGAGAAATGTAAACACATCCTGTGTCCTCTGCCTGAAACAATGTTTACGCACTTGTGTTGTGTATGCGTCGTCGTCGTTGTTAGCCCTGAGGGTTGCAGGACGCCTGACTGCCCACTCTGGAGGCCTCCTGCTCTGTTACCTGGAGGAGAGCCTCCACAGGGACCTTCCACTTGTCTGGCTCAGCGGTCATTAAACACTGTGCCTGCTGCCAGAGAGGAGTGTAAGCTACCTGGCTGCCCGTCTGGTGGGAACCTGCTACCGTGCATGGAATAGCGTGAAGGAACTCATTGTTCTAGGATCGACAGGACACACTGTAAACATAAGGGTAGGGTGCGTTTTAGGATACTCAGAAAGAAGCATGCGGAGACACCGGACAGGAAAACATACACACGGTCATACTAGGACAGGACACACACACACACACACACACACACACACACAAACAGATCCCTCAGATTAGATATAAGCATGAGCCTGGTTCGCTGCTGCTGTTGCCAAGCTCCCGGACAGCAGCATCAACAACAAACACATCTCGGGAGGTGAACCCAGGCGGCTGCAACAGCTTAATAGTCCCGAGTCTGAACAATTTGTCCATCATGTCTTATTGTGAGCGTGTGCGAGAGGCGGAAAAGTGGTCTGGAAGGCGGAGATGAGACAGGGGGGGGAGAGGACAAAAAGTGCGAGGAAGATGAGAAGAAAGGCGGGATTAGAGGGGATGAAAGGGTGTGAGAGTATGTGTGCAGAGAGGGAGAGAAAGAGATAGAGAACTTAATCATTACAGTCTTTTTTTTTTTTAAAAGCTTGCAAATGCATCAGAGGCATCATTGACCTGGTGCTCAGTTTGCCCCGTGGCTGTTATCTGTTCCTCCTGCATTATGACAACAGCATGTTGTGTAAATATTAGTCCAAACACAACACCTCCTGTAGTACGTCAGCAGGTTGTTCTTCTTTCGTAGTTCCCCCGTTGATATGTTGCTATGAGAAACATATACGCCGTTAAAGGGAATGAACCAACAAGTGTATCATGGTATAATGAGTTTCTGAGATGTGCTTTTCTCACGATGAAAGCAATACCGTGACGTTGGAAGTTTGGAAGATTCTAATATGAACCTGCATAACTAATGTCCTGTCCAACGTCCAACCAGCTTACATCCACCCTGCTTTACTTGCTTTTGGCTTGGACCTCCAATGCCACCGTGATTCGGCTCATCGACGCGCTCCGTTGTTCATTTGTGTTCACCTTAGTTCATTTAAAGAGCTTTGAGAGGGTTTGCATGCAGAGAAAACACTGGAGTGTAAACAAGACAATCCTTCAAACTGGAGTTGGTCAGTTTTCCCACGGTGACACTGATATGTTGTCCTAGTAAGAAGGTCCTGGTGACTCAGTGGTTAACAATGTGGACACACAGCAAGATGTTTCCAGCTCCTTGGCTCTGTCCGCTCTGTGAAGAGTTTTCAACCTTTCACTTGGTGCTCGGGTTTCTATCCCACAACCCAAAGACATCCAGGTCAAGGGCAGCAGAGCGAAAAGAGAGCCCAGCAATGGGTGGCGACCACACCTTGTGTGTTTCCTTTTGGCACAATGCATGGTGGGATCGGCTCCAACCCCCTGTGCCCTT